GCCAAAGGCTAGCTTCCACTCCAGCAGTGTTGCCAACTGTGGGATCCTGAGTGAAATTGTGACTGCTTATTCCCAAGCATTTAGAAAAATAACTGTCAATGAGGAAAACGCTGTTAGAAACCAGATAATTTCAGGGGCACCTGGGTGGCTCAGGTGGTTAAGCGACCGACTTCAGCTCAGGTCATGGTCTTGCAGTTTGTGAGTTTGAGCCCCGCGTCGGGCTCTGGGCTGACAGCTCGGAGCCTGGAGCCTGCTTAGGATTCTGTGTCTCCCTCTCTCTCTGCCCCTCTCCTCATGCTCTGTGTCTCTCTGTCTCTCAATAATAAATGTTGAAAAAAAAATTTTTTAAAAGAAACCAGATAATTTCAGACTTAGAATAAAGCTTATTTTTCCTGCAGGAGTTTCAGTAATTGTCTTTCATATATAGGTGTTATCACTGCAAAACCAAGTTTCATAATGCCCACCTTACTTTCTACCCAGAGTGCTGGCTTAGCACACATTCTTATAACCTTGAACATCCTCTGCTGTGACCAAGCACACGTTCCTCGGCATGCACCCCCCAACACCCCACCATTGCCTGAGGTTCCCAATTGGACCTCACAAACTTCTAAAGGATTACTCTTTGACCATTAGATAAATGCTTGTGTTCCCTCACATTTTTTGGCTCCTGCCAAAATGCCTCCAGGATGTAGAGTAAGGGTAAGGAAGCTTGGTTTTAGGGGTCAGACTTAAATGCTGTGGCCAACAGATTGGGTCAGCACTTGATTCTGATGGCTTAAAAAAGGAAAAAAGTCTGGAGACTTCTTAGAGAGTAGACCACTACTCATTTAATTGAATCTATGGGCATGGTAGATTCCCAGGAGTAATTTAACTAAAAGCACACCAGGAAAGGGCAGGTAGGTTCTTCATGCTTTCATTTTTAAAGAAATGTGTGAAAACTAAGTTTTCTGATCTGCTCCTCAACTTGCTAGCATGTCTTCACCCATTTAAGATCAATATCCCTTTATGGATTTCCTTCACGGGATTTGGTAGTGTACCATCCCCGAGAACATCTGAAACATGACTGAATGAGGAAAAAAGCTATTTATGCCAGGCCTCCCCCCAACTCCCCACCCCTGGACTTTTGAGTTTAAAACCACATGTTACCATTTTTCTTCCCTGTCTTCAGACACCAACATTTATATTGCCATCCCATCCACGAACGGACACTTTTTTGATTCAAGGATATTCCATACGTACACCCCAGACCTGAGAATATAGCATAAAAGATAGCTTGAAGTGTGACCTTTCACAATGCTAGAGGTAAATAATAAATAAAAGCACCATAGCCTATTGTCTTTATTATCAAAGTTTATTGTTGGGGTCAATTTTCTATCTACCGGGGAGTACAACTATGTCTCAATATGTGCTATAGTAATTCTAGGGTAATAGCCTTTCTGCAAAATAGTTGTACTGGGACTCTGTTAAGCATAGATCATAATTAAGTCAGTGGAAGAATGAGCCCAGAAAAACCCTGACAGTAGAGCCATTACTCTAGGAAAGTTCCAGTGCTATGCAACCTGTAAGGCATCATCTATCAGCTGACGATGAGACTCAAGAAGATGTCGGTGGAATGAAATAGGAGTTGAACCCATTTTCTACTCTTCTCTGCAAGAAAACTATGGCTCCAATGCAAGAACCCAAAATTAGATCTTATAAAATCATTTAGGCTCCCAAAGCAAGTAAAACAGGACATAAAAGAGGAAAGGGCCAGGGACCAGGGTAGTGGAGGATAAATTAAGTGGAAGCGGAGGGAATGGAAACTTCTGGAATGGAAAATAGCTGTATTTAGATGCCATTTGAGACAGCAAATAATACAGTACAGGTGAAAGCAAATGGGGAACAATTCCAATATTCAAAGTTATTCAGATAAACCAGAAACTAAGTGAAGTTTCCTACCTTGGAGGAAAACTGGTTTTAAACAAATGACAAAGGTGAGTCACTAATAGGAAAATGAGTACCTGAGTAGAAACAGGTGTTTCAGGATGCCAAGAACAGTATAGTATGTAAAGGAGCAGAGTCTACCAGAAGGAAAAGTGGTTATGGTAGCCTGTTATTCAGACCAGACATTGGAATGACATTTCTGGCAATGGCTTTGTCCAGAAGGTCCCGGCATATTTTTTTGTAGCATAGATAGCTCGGAATGTTTTCGTGACACTCAACTTAGGTGGGAATGCAAATTACTAGAATGTAAAAATTCAAAGACCTCCCCCATCTATTCCCGCAGGGCAGAAGGAGATTAGAAGTCTTGAAACAGCTGTGGCTAAAGGCCCACGTCCTCTCATACCCTTGTGATCAAAATATTAAAGAAACCAACAAGTATCCGATGAGTCAATGAGCCTTGTACCATGTAGACAGCAGATAATTTATAGTGACTTCTTCTGCAGGCAGCCTGAGAAACAGAAGAGCTTGTATGCTAAATGCTGCCCCGTCATTAAATATGACACAGAGGGCCACCAAAGACCCTAAAAAATTCTAGCTGCCAACGAGATTGGGAAGAGAAATACAACAGCATAGTTTCCTAACCTGCATCTTCCACTCTAACCTAGTTCGTCTGTGGAAAAGCCATCTGCTGGCACCAGGCCAGTATGCCTGAATTTTATCATTAGTATCTCATTTTTCCAAAAGAGGAAATGTGTGAGTAGCAGGTGTACGTATGGGACTCGTTTCTACAAAGCCTTCTTTGCAGTCTCGACCTGTGTGGGGACAGGTTCTACTCTTGGAAGCATTTTTAAAGGCAAAAGAAAACATTTACTTGAGGTTTTCTCCACAGAGAGGACATCAGTGGAATTGGGCCCATAGGAGTCTCCTGTTGGTGTTGAACAAACGGTCTCTTCTCCAGGAACAAATACCTTTGTTCATTCATATTTACAGGTTTCTTTTGATGGACACATGGATTAATCTCTAAAACAAAAAATGGGGCAGAAGCAGTTTCTTCCCTAATCATGTCTCTGCTGAAATCAAGGGTCCTAGACTTTTCTGACACGTGGATGTGGGGCGGGGGTGGGCTATGTCACAGGACAGGGTGCACAGTCCAGACATGGGGTTGTTCCAGCCCCCCCGGCCTTCTGCTGCCCCCTGTGCGTCCACACTTTGAGGAATCTTCTTGAGGATTTTCCTCTCACCGGTTTCAAACAGTTCCAATTGCTGGAAAACAGAGAGAACCTAAGTGTGAATTAACCCTTGGATTTTAGAAATCGTATACATTTTAGCAAACATGATTATTCCATTAGTCAGATTTCCAAATAGATGAGAACCAGTTTTATGCCCATCTGTCCACTATTAAATCTCCTGTTTGCTGAGAATCCCTAACTGCTTCTATCACTTCCTCAGTTCACAAAAGGGCAGCTGAACAGAGAACCGGTGGTCATGATGGTCAGAAGGTCATGGTTGATATCGGACGTAAATGCCTATCTTCACAGCTGCAGCCTCGCCCTGTCTTTTCCCTTTCCTCTTCTGGTAGCAAAGAGCTTAGAAAATTAAAAAAAAAAAAAAA